AATTTAGCTGGACTATTGGGCTATTTAAAATATTCGATTTTCAGGCTATTATCCGCCGAGCGACAAAAGGGTCTATAGCGAAGATTCTATTGTCGATTCATCCTCTGCCAAGGCAGAATTTTTCGCTAAGCTCTGTTATGATTGGGAAGAGGCTGGCGATCTCGGCAAAGACTGCAAGCATCGGCATGTGATCGTTCGAACAGGTATTGTATTGAAATGAAGTTTTTTCCTCAGTTGGAGCTTGATGTAAGAAGGTCCACGACATGTTGTCAGAGATGCTTGAAAGTCACCGTTACTGGTTAGTTTTGTTCACTGACATCATTACGCATTGTTAATAAATGCGCCAAAGCAAGTGTCTTTAAATGGACAGGAAGTGTGCATTTAAATATTTGTATACCCCTGTATTTCCATATCGAACTGAATCGAAGGTTTAATTTTTCGTTTCATTCCATTGCATCGAAGACGTTGCTGAACGGGAGTTCCTCCTGGATCATTTAAATGCGTGCTCACTATTCAGAACTTTCGATGCCATACCAGTTCTAATGAAATTTTTTCCTCTTATTTGAGGTCTTTCAATCAACCCCCTGCCGCTAGGTTTTGAGTGCAGTACTTGCTGTGCAAGACAATTATTAGTTATGAATTATCATGCTTCTCAGCAGCCTACACTCCTTTTCATTTTTGTTAGAGATATTCTAATTTCTCTCTTTTAACTACAGTTGGCATATGATCGAATTTCTTGGCTCCTAATATTGCTCTTAAAGCATTTTTTCATCTCTGTGTATCACTTTTCTCTTTTCAGCGTGTTAAGTGCTGTCGTCTCTCGTCAGAACAGTAATTTTGAATGGAAACTGTATATCCGCAGTTCTTTTGCTATTCTAACGTCCTTTTCCTTTTAGAGCTTAAAAATCTTGTAACTCTCTGCTAATACTATTGTGCAGCGTCACTTAACTTTGTTTGATATTGTCCTAGCAGGCAAATAATTTGATATTTTTTTTCCACAACTTCAGTGTCATAGATCATATAGTCTTTGATCTGGGTTCTGCGAATGTCTATCCACTTCATAATTTTTAGGTTAATCGAGAAATGTAGATCGGAACACGTTTGTTACAAAGTTAAGAACGGTGATATCGCAGCTTTGAATTTATCTACAAACAGGAACGTTTACGCTGATGCTGTCCACTCTTGCCGATGCAAACTGACTCCTTTGTTTTGGCTGGAATCTAGTCAAGGAACATTCTAAACAGCAGTGAGGATTCCACTGATCCTTGCCTTACTTTGTATTCTGAGCCTGTGATGAATTCGCAGTTCAGCTGATAAAAGATCATGCATTTTTTAAATTGCGCGATTTTTTTTGCGATTGCTCACCAACTTTCTACTAGGTGTATCTTCAGACTGATTCAAACTCTTTGGTGAAATAGACGACTTTTGCATGGAATTTGATTCCACATTGTCTCGTCGTTTTCATTCGCTGCCTCACCGTAAATATTCGATCCGAATATCCTCTGCCGGTTTTGAATTATTTATCAATTCTTTTCCGAGTATGTTGTTTAATACTGTTCGCCCTAATACTTACGAAATATTGCAGGAACGGTTGGTATTTGGATTCGTGCAATAGTCTTTCTTGTATATTGGAAGCCGCACCTTTAATCTATTTATTCTGGATCTTTTCTTTCTACCGTCCCATTCCAAAGAGATTCACTAAGGGTCAGCACTTCGTTCATTACTAACTCCTTGATTAGCTCTGGTTGTGTTTTATCCATTCCTGCAGCTGCGCCACTTTTCAGTTGGCTTAACGCATCGATCATTTCTTCAAGGGTCCGTGGTCCGGCATCCATCTTGCGTCTATGCGGAATGTCGTAAAGTAAATCTTGTTTTACAATTGCCTCATGAGCTTAGTAGTGTGATTCAGAGCGTTTTCCCCGTATTTCAATGGCTTTTGCTTCGGATGTGATGTTACTGTCTCCTCTTTGTTAATTGTTTCCTGTTTTCTCCTTCACGAATT